AATAAAAAAATAGAAAAACAAAAAATCGATTCGGACTCTCTAAACTCATATCATTGTCCAACAAAAGGGGAATAATCTATATGAACACAGTCTTACAGCAATGAAGAGAATTTGCTGCAAGATACTCTTGTCACCCATTTGGCTGAAAACAGAAATAGGACTGTTGTGTAAATTAACCATTCATAGCTAGTGTTAAACTATTTTTATTTACAGACATTCCAGCTTTTTTATGTTGGTGATCTTACAGTATATAAGAACCTAACCTGATATTCCATTGGAATTAATATATTTGTTACCCTTTGATTTAACTACTCTAATCAACAAGTTCAGTGTTCTGTTAATTGTTTCCATTAAGAGATAATGGAGGCATCTTTGGCATGCTATTTACTTACTAGTATAAGCAAAGTTCTGTTTCTCTAAACACTGGAATGATCATATGATGGAAGGCAGTTTCTCTTTTCCCAGCCTCAAGTCCCTTTAAGTCAATTGGTACTTAGCCCAAAAAGCACACTCTCTGTTCTCAAGGCTGTACTACTAACTCTTCTGTGACTCAGTGCAGAAAATCAGACCATCTCTGCATGCTGTAACTGAGAACGCTTTTCAGGAAGTGTTCTTAGTTACAATGATCCCCCAGAACAAACAGAAATTCACTGTTCCAGGGAAATCTAGCTGTTGGCTGCTCATTGCTACAGCAATGTAACGCCAGCAGGCACAAACCATGATGCCAATGCTACTGCGCAGTAGTGTGGGAAAAAACCCATGTGGCATCAGGACTGTGTAGTAATGCCAGTTACTGCACAGTCATTTAGTACTTGCTTAAGCAAATACTAAATGACTGCACACTAACAACAGTCTGGTGCAGATGTAGATGTGCCCTGTGTGCTTTAAATATGGTGTTCATTTATTGCCACAATAGTGCATCATGAAGGTGTGACATAAGAACAAATGGACCAATTAGCTCATAAAACATCTCTCATTCTCTGTTCTTTATCATGATCACTTCTTTGGCTATCCCTCAATACAAGGATGATGTCTGCCAGGGGGGAGGGAATTATTGGTGAGTTTTAAGATGGCTGAAGAGTCAATCTGTGCTCTGCAAGTTTTTTCACAGATATGAGAGGTGATGTCTTGGGGGCAGGGGACATAGCTATTGACCAGGATGTTGTGCGCTTTTCTTCCTCCTCTGCCATTTCTCGGCTTCCTAAGCAAGACTGCTCTCTTTGAAATGAGCTGCAGCTTGGTGTATGGTGCAGCACCATTAAGAATTTCAGTACTTTATTTTGTTGGTTTTGACTGCAGGTAGAGTGATCCCACTGGATGCAGCAATCCAGCCAGGGCAGTGCAAGACAGGTTTAGGGAACCTTTTCTAGCCCCTTCCCCACTCAGGGTGAGCAGAGGGGATCCTAAATAGGACTGCTCAGTCATGGCTGCAGCTGCTAAATTGTACTTTTATCTTGGTAAGTGCAGTATGATCATCACACAACCACCACGTACATACATATTTGTGACTAGGGACTCTCAGAGATCACCGTTCCTGTCCCCACCACCACCACCTGTCCATCACCACAGGACTTGGTTTGTGGGAGATGTTAACATCCTTGGCAGAGGCCTGCGTCTGATATATTTTAATGTGGGGAAGCCAGTGTGCAAGCAACAGCCACACAAACTTGACAGGAAGGATCCCTGGACCCAGTGGCAAGGATGTCCAAAACAACCACAGAACTCTATCCCACTTCAGCCCTTGTCTGCTTTCACAGCAGTAGAGAACCAGCAGGTCCTCAGGTACATCTGTTCTACCATTGGGATCTTCAGGAGTTTAAACAATCCTTAGTCTGGGACCTTGCCTCAAACCTGTTTGCCAGGGAAGACACTATAAGGAGTAGAAGACAACAAATGACATAGCTCTGAGGGTCACTGGAACACATAAGCCTCTCCACCATGACAAGGTTACAGTCCAAGGAAAGGATCATGATCACTATGCTTATGCAAGAGGCAAGAACTCTGGTGGATGATATTTTTTATTGGATGAAGTATACGGTTTGTATAGACATAGGCAAGCCTTTGGGTATCAGTATCCTTCCTCAGACAGAGACAGAAGCAGGCACAGATGAGCTAAGTTGCGGATGGATCAAAAGCTTTTTAAGTACGGTTGTGGTAATCTGTGAAGTGCGGGGGTTAGCAAGTATCAGAAAAATTATAATGGATCTGGATCAAAAAGGATGTGGACAAGCTGGAGACAGTCCAGCAGAGCACAACAAAAATGGTGAAGAGGCTGGGAGACAGGACTTCTGAGAAGAGGCTGAGGGAACTGGGTTTATTTAGGCTACAGAAGAGGAGACAAGAGGGGACATAAAAGGAGCCTTCAACTACCTGAAAGATGGTTGAAAAGAGGATGGAGGCTAGACTGCTTTCAGTGGTGGCAGATGACAGAACAAGGAGCAACCATCTCAAGTTGCAGCAAGGGAAGTTTAGGTTATATATCAGGAAGAATTTTCTCACTAGGAGGGTAGTAAAACACTGGAACAGGTTATCCAGAGAGGTAGTGGAAGCTCCATCCTTGGAGGTTTTCAAAACTCAGCTAGACAAAGCTTTGGCTGGGGTGATCTGGTTGGGGATGGTCCTGCTTTGAGCAAGGTGTTGGACTAGATGACCTCCTGAGGTCCCTTCCAACCCTAACTTCCTATAATCATGAAGTCATTACCTATGTTAAAATTCTGATGGCTGATGTCCAATAAGCTGGTGAATTTCTATTCCCAGTCTCACCTTGTACAGGTGTTGGAGAGATTTCCTTTGAGCACTAGAACTGTGAATTTAGATGAGGAGTGCATAGTTTTAGTCACGTTTCACCCAGTTTCCGTGAGGGCATATGGTGCACCACATGAGGAATATTACATTCTGAGAGAAACGTGTGTATGACCC